ATAAAGAAAATCAAGCCTTTGAAATCAAATTCCGATGCAACCTGACATAGCAAAGAAAGTAAAACAAGTCATATCAGTCATGATCACAACTTTAAATGGAGCTCTTTTGATAGAACAGCAACTTTGATAAAGTATTCCATGCGGATGCACAATGCCATACCTAAATAATTACAAAACCAAAACCAATACAAAAACAAGCACCAACAATAATGAAATTACAAATTGATACTATCATCATTAATTTCCAACGAGTAGCAAAAAAGGATTTCAGTCATAATTTACTTCTAAATCCCTTGCCTTGCAAGCCATGACATTACAACAAATTCCTACACCAAGAAGGTAAGTTGTTTCCCTCTAAGCTTATAAAGTTATCTACTAAATTAGATGTCCAATCACATACCCTGAGACAATGTTCTTCATAGGATTGAACGTTGACGTAAAAATCGAAATATCACCCTTTGCTTGCTCAATAGCCTCTTCTTCACTTAATCCAACAACACAAAGAGGTGGTATGCTGTAAAACAACAAAAAAACACAAGCTAATCATATATCACAAACAAATTTCAATAAAAAGATAAACAGAATTGGTTCATTAGAAAAATGAAACTACTGGAACAACTTATTTCTATCAAGCTCTGAATACGAATAAAAACTTTAAAACTGCACCAAGAACAATTTTAGCACTTCCATTATACTGATGGATAATCTCAGGTGAATTATATGAGGGAAGAAAAATGAAGCATTTGCTAGAACAGAAGAAACTTTACCAGAATACAGCACAAGGTACATTTGTTGTAGTCAGGTTTGGTAGGCTGACCACCAAAAACAGTTTTCTGCAGGCAAAGCAAAGAATTGAATGATGAATTAATAACGGAAAAAAAAAAAATGAGAATTCAATGATGATAACTAATCAGGGTACAGATTAAGCACACACTGAAAAGCAGGTGCCTTCCATTAAGGCCACGGGAGTAAGATTCAATCTATTTGTGACATCACCAATAGCCCATATGCTAGGAACGTTTGTGCGAGAGAACTCATCCACCTGAAATACAAGATGAAAGGGGTAGGGAACCTCAAAGAAGTTAACTTCTCATGGTACAAACATTTTTTTCACAAGCAAAACAATTTTGAATCACCAACATCAAATAGACCACAAAATAATAGATTGAGGTGAAAACATTGTTAACCAAACAAGGGAGAAGTAGTAGTGAGCTAATGCTGTGAAAAAACCCCAAAATAAACTCAACCATCTCCGATACACGTAGCACTGAAAAACTAACCCAAAAAAAAAAAAAAACCCTCATAAATACAATCTCACTCTTGTTCATAATTTTTTAAACACTCTCCAATGCCATACACACATCATCACATCAAAGAACAACAAATGCAATAAAAGACGAAGAAAAAGTTATTAACCTTTACGGCTCCCATCTCGTCAAGCTCAACACCTACAGCTTCCAAATTCAACCTCTTTGTGTTAGGAAGCCGACCTATAATCAATGAAAAATACTTTATTATCCCAAAGATTACATTAAAAACCTCAACAACTAAAATGATTGCTCACTAAATTTATAGAATGTTAGTACTAATGTACACACACCTATATAGAAGAAACCGAACATGATGTGCGGTTAAAAACCGGTCCACCTAGGGCGCCAGGACCAACCGATAACAAGGCCGATCATGACAGCGAGCCAAATCGGGATTGAGGAGAGTAAAACGTCGAGGAATGTCTCGGCGAGGCCTGGGCAGTGTAGAAAATAGATCAAATCGAAGAAGCTCTGCTCCATTATCGATCGGTGTCTATACAGATACGTGTATGTACATGAGAGAATCGATAAATATACATATATGTATATGTATATACAAAGTGGAAGAGATAAGAAGATGAGGTGCTAAGCCATGGAAGCTTGCATAGATGGTGGTGGCGGTGGAGCTTTGAAATCGAGAGAGAGAGAAATCAAAATCGCTCTGAGATGAAATCAAAGATGAATCTCAGAGAGAGAGATCTAGAGACAGAATCGAAATCGGGGTGGCAGTGCAGACCGATCTGAATCGAAATCGCGGTGGCGGTGCAAATCGATCTGAAATCGGTGAATCTATGAAATCGGTGAATCGGTGAATCTCGCTACCTCGCCGGTGCAGATGGTGGTGGAGGTAGAGCTTCGAAATCGGTGAATCTGTGAGATTTGAATGTGAGATTCAATGTTTAGAGAGGATTGAGAGAGAGGCGCGACGTGAGGATAAGGGGTCAGAGGATTCAATGTTTATGTCTGAAGACCTGAGGGTTTACAAAGCTTTATTGGCAGATTCAAAATAGGCGCGTGATGTACAACATTTGGAGGCGCTTTTAAACGCCTTTGATCATAAAACGGTGTCGTTTTAATTAAATAAATATGCGATGTTTTTAAAACGTCGTTAAATATTAATAAAGATGACGTTTACGAAAACGCCGTTAAAAAAACGTCGCCAAAACCCTTATTTCTTGTAGTGACACTTGTGAGTGTGCTGGTATATTTTGTGTATAGCAACAATGTCCTAGCATTTTTCTGATTAAGAATACAATTACCTAGTCAATTTAAACATACATAAATCATTAAAATTTGGGACCTATCTCAATGTGGGGCTTTTGGTGGTGTGCTTACTAACCTAATTGCTTACAGTGCAGACCTCTACCCATTATGCATGTAGCCTATTTCATTTACACTATCTACATATTATATATTGAGAGATTTCAGATTAAAAAAAGATATTAATTTAGGTAGAGTTTTGAATTTAACATCTTGTGTGGAGACTACATAAGTCATGACTCTTAAACTAATTATCTGAATTATGTTGAATTACAATAAACTTGAATCTTCTAAAAAAGACAAAATGCTCATGCTTAAACCACATTCAGTTGTCTTTGTCATCTTATTTCTTGTAATTTTATTATATTTTTTTGATATTTTCACCAAGATGATAAAAGTTGACACTCACTCAAGATGCTTTTCAAAGACAATGCCACACCACCTTAACAAGATAGCAAAGCCAAGCAAACATAATTAATCGAGAGACTTCATGTTATATTGGAAATCTATAAATAGAAGAATTATATCTCAATCTTTTCTCTAGATTTTTATGAATGTGAGTCCACTTAATTAGTTATTTGAAAAAAAAGGGTGTAATTTGAAATCCCCTCAATTAGGACCCAAAACCTGGTTGCTTTCAATTAACACTAGCAAATGTGGAACCAAAATGGAGAGTACCAAGACTCACAATGATTAAAATACTCATAATCATTAAATTATATCTCAAAATTTTAATTAAAATTTTCATATGATTCAACGGTTATAAATAAATTAAAATAAGAGAGTGGAAAAATTTGAAGACAAGAATCTTGATCAATAAAAGTCATAATAAATAGAAAACTTAACACACATCTATATATACTATTATATAAATCACAATAACTCATAACTCAATAACCTCATATGCTAAAGTGGGTGTATGATTTTATTCACCAAGATAGATTCTGTAAAAGACGGGATTAGTAAATGAAAATCCACTCAGATTTTATCTTTATGAGATTATCAATTGCGTCTTAGGGACGTCTTTAGAGTATACCAAATAAGTAAAATTATCTATTTTTTACAGAGCGCTGCAATTTCAACTAGTGTGGAGGAAAAGTGAGAACAGTTTTTTCTTCTTTTATTGTTTCTTGTCAATGCAAAATCATGTGCCATTGAACGCAAAATCATATTCTCATAATTCACTTAAATGCAAAATCTAAAAATCTAAAATGTTATAATTGACAGTGGACGATTTTATCCGCTCATATGTCACTCGAGTGAATAAAATAAATTTCATCTAATGGTGCTAGTGTCAATGGCATACTTAAAAGCAATGTTAAAGGCGTCTAAAACTTTCTATCTTCTAAATTTATTCATATTGATGTGAAAAAAAAATAAAATCTTAATTGATTGATTTTTAAATAAATTAATAACTAACATACATCCACATTAAAAACAAAAAAAAACAGAAAGGCAAATTGAAAATTCCCATTCTAGAAAAGTAAGTTTAAAGGAGTATTAGAGGAAAATTGCATTATTAAGGGAGTTGTGTTGTGTTATAGATTTCATATTAAATTGTGGATAAAGTACACTGATTATCCTTGAGATTTTAAAAAATATAGTAAGCTTCACTAAATTCTCTTATGATTTTAATTCATATAACACTTTACTCTTATTTTCGTCATAAATTCATTAATCATATGAATAATAAAATAATGTTGTAATCTTTTTTATATTATAAAATAATGTGTGTTTTTGTGTTTTCATACAAACTGCATTAGTTCTGATTTCTTTAATCCTATTAAAATAAAAGTTAATATAATTATATCAAAATTTTAGACTTCTTGTATTTTTTTTATATCTTAAAAAAAATCGGTGTAATTTCTCCTAAAATTTTTACCACTAGACACTTTAGTAGTGAGTCCACATTAAAAATACATATAAAGTTCATGTCTATATAATAGTAAAAAAATAAGATAGACAATTCGTTTATATATATAATACTTTTCGTAGTAAAGTGAAGTGTTAGGCCTCTTTGTGAATCAAACCTTGAAATAAAATCGTGAATCTTACGACAAACATGCATCATCATGTTCTGTAAAACCAAACACTAAAAAGAAATAATGCCTTTCCAATTACTCGTCAAATATTCAAAGCATGTTTGGTTGTGCTATTATTTTTATTTTGCCAAAAAATATATTTAAAAAAAAAATTGATTGAAACTGCTTTCGAGATTTTTTTTTTTATTAAAAACAACACAACATCAAAAACTTATTTTCACACAAAAATAAAAATGATAGATACTTTCAAAATTTTCCATTATTTTTGTTTCCAAAAACAAATAAAATGCAAATACAAGCAAATAGTTCCAAAGATTGTGTTTGGATCTAGGACTTCCTGACGAACAATAAAAAGAAAGAAAAAAGAAAAATGAAGACGAAGCTAAAATTATTTTCCCTTTTTCCTGGACAAATCTAAGATTCAAACACATCCTAGAACCACAAGAAACAAACAATGCTATATAAAAACCAAAAAATACAGATTTCATATATAATAAAAATAGCAGGCTGGACTATTAATATATTTTTTTTCTTGGATAGTTACTTTATATAATGAACTGATGATGCCTTTGCATTGAGTGTAAAATGTCACCAAGGGAATAGTTACAAAATTCAAATGCCCTGTTTCAGCATCTACCTGATACTTGTTTGGAAACCAAGAAAATTCTGTCACTAGAAGTCCTCATCCAGCTTGAAGATGAAATTTTTGCCACCATCTTGTAGGTTTGACATAACAGAAGCTTTTTGATAATCACCCACCCTTCTCTCAAAGAAGTTGGCTTTTCCTCTGTTCATTCAAACAAACCGATTAAATTCAGAACACTACGCTCAGAAACCAAGAGGAAATGTAATCAACATTGCAGAACATTAGAATGCAACTCATTGTCATAGTTCAAAGAGCTTAAGCATATGCAAGAAATTCTTAGGCTAAAAAATCAGAACTCAAAACAAGATATGTATATGATAGATGGAAAAAAAAAATTGTTGTAATTGTTAATTCCATCTCGATGAGGGATATTCTAGTGGCATGGTCTCAAGCTCACATCCACCTCTTTTCTGATTTGATATGGTAGTGGGATGAAAAAAATTGATGATTTGTTATTATTTGAATGTTGCCATTTTTTTGTTTTTCGTTTACAAAAAAAACCGAAGACAAGTTTTCGTTTTTGTCCTTTTTTTTAAAAAAACAAAAACTTGTTTGATGTACAAAAATGTTTTGAAAACAAAAATAAAGAAACATATTCGGTGAGTTGTTGCAGGTGGTGGCCGCCGGTGGAGGATGAACGGATGTGGTGGCTGGCAGTGGAGGTGTCCAGAAGTGGCTGTCGAAGTTGGTGGCTGGAGTGTTGCCGGAGGTCACAGGCTGTGACCAATCGGTCACTGGTGGTAGTGGTTGGTGATAGCCAGAAGTAGTGGGGGACGGACGAGAGTGAAAACTTATTCTGAAAACAAGTGAAACACTTTCTCTTTTTCTTTTTCTTTTTCTTTCAAAAATTTTGAAATTTTGGAATCCATTACACTTATTTGAAAACGAAGACAATTAACAAAACAAGCTTTTGTTTTCAGATTCCAAAAAAAATGAAAACAAAAACAGAAAATAAGAAATGGAAGCGTTACCAACAGAGCTTACCTGCTTGGTTTCGTTTTCAGAATCTGTTTTTTGAAAAACACTAAAAATGAATTTTCAGAATCTGTTTTCATCTCGGTAATGGAAAGGTTGGGACCCAATATTTCATGGGTCCCACTGAATATTGCCATGGTATAATGTTGAGGATGATCAGACAACAAAGTGTCAATGTCAATAATGTGAATGCAAACAAGATAATAAACAACTACCAACATCCACGGACACATGTCCGGATCACTATACAACAAGGGTAAACCCGGGATCGCTATATATTCTACTGCTTTGGACAGTAAAAAGCTGACAAACCAGATGACCCTAACCATCATGATTGCCAGGCAAGGACGAGGTCTCAAGAGGAAAATAACGAGGGATGGGTACTGACTAATGAACTGGCCTCATATGTGCTAATTTAATCACTAGGGAGTCTAAACTTTGGATCAATGATTGATTTAGGATGTTCAAGCACCAAAAAAGCAACGCCTAAAGTCCAAGATGCGTAAAATGTTTCTCCGCATACTTATCAAAACAGAACTTAAGGCCTCTGTTGAAATGAACTCCATCCAATCAAAGGGATTTTCAACATTGTACTTTCTCTTGCACACTAAGGAAACCTAGAAAGGCATAAATATAGACAATCTTTAGTTATCAAAACCAGCAATACAACTCCTTAGATCAAAAGATAATAGAAGGATCATACCAAAAGACGGTCAGCAACAAACTTTATATATTGACTCATAAGCGTTGAGTTCATGCCAATCAATGCACATGGAAGAGCTTCACAAACAAACTGTGTCTCAATTTCAACAGCTTCGTGAACAATGTGATCAACTTTTTGCGACTGTAATTGCTTGTGCAACAAACTGTAGAAATAAATATGTCAATATCTTAGTTCTTTTCACTCCCCCCGCCCCTCCTAATTTACAAGAAGAAGAAGAAGAAGAAGAGAGAGAGAGAGAGAGAGAGAGAGAGCATAACATAGCAACATACTTCAATTTCCAATAAAGCATCAAATAATAACAGAAGCAAAGCCACCTGTATAGAAGACAAGCAAAATCGCAGTGGAGACCCTAATCTCTAGAAATAAGTTCATTTGAAAATGTCAAGCCTGGCAGGAGTCCCCTCTTTTTAAGCCAAAAAATGGCACAGAAACTGAGGGGAAAAGAGCACAATTATATGTGGCGGATATCTTTTTTCACAAACAAGCATGACATTTAGAACCATCCACACTAAAGAATAAGAAAGAGACAACTATTTGAAAAGGCATACCTTCCTGAGAAAAATATTCCTTCAACACATGCAAAGGCAACTATTCTTTCTGCAAATGAGCTGGAGCTGCATATGGATATTAGCACAATGAGGATTTGATGAGCAGAAGTATCTCATATCTCTTATATTCATTCTATTTTCAAACAGAAGAATGAAGCTAAACTACCATAATTGAGACGGCCAACAGAATCAAAATGTTGAACAACGTTCTTGAATTTAAACGGAAAAGTAAGGATAATTTATTTTTTCATTGTCCTTGGGCTCTATCTTTATGGTGGAGAGTATTTCATTTGATGGAGGAGGATTAGGTTTTACCACCATTTTGTGAGAATTTGTTATGCATTGGTTTTACAGGATTTGATTCAAATGCCAAGGCTCGGGTTCTTTGAAGATGTGTTGTTTGTGTGGTTCTTTGAGTTTATGGCTAGAATAGAATGCTAGGATTTTTATGAGAAAAGTGATGTTAAGAGCATTTGGGAGAAAATTTGTTACTCAGACTCTTTTTTGGGTGGGGGCCCCTTCTTTTAAGGGGATTCCATTAAATTTCTAGAGATCGGAGTGCTATTTGTAAAGTGAAACCCCCCCCCCCCCCCCCACACCCCCCCGATTTCGGTGGATTTCTTGTCCCCTCCTTTTGTACTTGTTCACTTTTTTAATAAATTTTTGTTACCGATCAAAAGATTTAAACAGAAACCGGCAAGTAATGTCCATATTGATAGATGGAAGTAAGAGCTATGTTTTAATAAGTTGCATAATATGAGTGAATAAAGCTGGAATGTATATTCAGTCAAATTGATGAAAAGCAGTATCCCTAAAATTAGCATAAAGCCACTTCAAATATTTAATGTCAAAGTTTGTGCTACAAAGAAGACAAACGTAGGGTTTTAAATTAGTATTTGCCGTTTCTAGAATCTACATTAGTAGGGTTCCACTTCCTTAAGGCACCTCTAGCCGAAGCAACTACAATTAGTCTATCAAGTAATGACATAATGTACCAGAAAATACAAAAGAAGGCAGCAAATATCCAAAGTTAACAATATGGAGTTTGAGGTGTCCTCTTCTCCAAGTCACACATGCTTCCTATATAAAAGGAATCAGTAAAACGTCCGGTGCATGTTTTGAGAGAGAGACTCACACCTTGAAAAGCTGGAAGATTGCTAATTCTATTGCTTTTGCCATATTTGACAGTTCAATGAAAACTTTCCAACCCCCTCGTGTGTGCATGCATGATTATTACACATACACATACACATACACATGAGAGAGAGAGAGAGAGAGAGAGAGAGGAGATTGAAAAACCATTTTCACATCAATTTTACTCAGCAAGACAAAAAACAATGATTACTAAATTAAAGTACATCAATCAGACAAAATAGGTAATATACCTACACTTAGCTTCTCAAGAAAAATTTCGCTGCAAACCAGAAAAAAAGAAAAAGAAAAGAAGGAATGATTTTGTTTTCCAATTGCTTATGCTCTATTTCGGTTCACTGAAATGAGATGAAACAAAATGGAATCATCATTACTTAGGCTCTCCTATTGAATATCATTCCTTTTACAATGGTGAATGATGATTCTATTTGCAATATATTTTTCATTGTTTTTTTAGTCAACCAAACATGGAAATGAATATTTTGAAGGTACAATCATTCCATTCCACTTTATTCCAATGAACCAAACACTACATAGGTGTCACGGTCAATCAGTACTTGTAACATTAAAAACCAGTAGAGACTTACAAGCTAATCTTTAAGAAAATCATTATGTAAAATTTATTTAAATAATGCAAATAAGAATGTGTTAATACCTTTGAATCCAATCCAAAGCCCATTTGGCTTTTTGAGCAACACAAGGAATATTCTCAACTGCATTGAACAATCTATGTTTCTCCCTCGAGTCCCTGATGTATGTTTCCAAAAGTAAACTGTACATCTGTACATCTCTAAGAAAAAAAGGAAGAAATGCCCACTATCAAGTAACTCAAGAATGCATGAGATAGTAAATCACTGCAATATCACATACAAAGCTCTACCAGAATGTATATTCTCCATTGCAATTTGGAATCCGTAAAATGCCCGAGCCTAGAAAACATAAAAAGGATTAATGTAAGTGCATTATCAGTACCAGAAAAGAAAAATGAAAATATAAACATTTAAGGACACAATTTTTATTGCATCTATATCTAAGATAGGTGCACACTACAATGGAGAGACCTAATCCAGTCATCCCCATTTTATTGCCACCTGCATTGCATTCTGCCATTAATAATTAATATCATTATCTGGCACAAAACTAGCAAGAAAATTTCATTATTTAAATTGCTAATTCATATAAACTAGAAAGGGAAAAAAAATAAGAAGCCATATTTAATGGTGACATTAACTGCCTTTTCTTCTGCTCATAATTTGCTCTCACTTTTTTAAAAATGTATGCGAATTATTTGGCACAAAACTCTTTACCAAAAAAATTGAAAATTTTCTTGAACGTTATTGATCATCATCTAATGTTCAAAACTGCATTTTGATCTTTAACATTTATTCATAATGACTTTCACGAATCACATTACTGTTTGCATCTGGCTATTAGCAATGAAGTTGGTTTTCTTCAAAAACAACATTTTTATTACGATGTAAGACCTATTGGTTAGGGGTGACCAGTGGTTCAATAGTAAAACTTTGACCTAATAACCTTGAGGTTATGAGCTCGGAGCAACCACTTTGTGCACTATGCCAAAGGTTAGGTGTTTACCCAATCTTTCCCCTCCCAAACACACATTAATGTGTACTGGTTGGGCTTTGTTTTTTTATAAGATCTATTGGTTATTATTCCTAAAAATAATGCCTCATATTAAATAGCAAATGTCAATCCTCTCTGGAGAATTCTTGCAGGAGAAAGCAACAAAACATAAAATAGCTCCTCATGAAGTTTCCCCACTATGCCCATCATACATAAACATGAACTAGTCCAAGGACTCAGAACTACTGATGTAACACTCAATTCACTAAATTGCAGAAAGGTTAGCAGTGAATGGAGGAACACATCATAAAAGGCGAAATAAAGCAATAGCATTGAAACTAGACATAATCTAAAGCCGATACAGACACTGAAAGTTGCATGAATGGAGCATCGTCAAGAAATTTACCTCTGGAATTTTAACATCATTTAAAAATCTTCCAGCCAAATTCTCCAAAACAATCCCATCGGATGCAGCAAAAAATGCCAATACATGGCTTATAAAGTGCTTCTCGGAATCAGACAAAGAATCCCACTGCTGCACATCCTGGGAGAGATCCACCTCCTCGGCTGAGAACCCAATAAAAAGTTGTTAGAATAATTTGCACCAAAAAAAAAAAGTAATAGAAAATAGCAAAGACGAAATTCAAAGAGGAAAAAGTAAAACAAAATCACACTTGATGCATTCAACTTAATAAAAGATACAAAGAATATTCAACATAAGAAGTCGAAAGGTAAGACACATAACATATTCTAATGTCCTTGTATTTCTTCATTTAAAACCAACCCCAAGAAGTTAGAAAATACATCATAATTTTTACTCGTATGCTACCAGCACAATTAATAGTGACCACTACTACTATCACCAAAAACACCGCCAACACATCATGATGGTTAAAGCAGCCAGAAATGCTGTACCACCAAACCACTATGCCATATCTACAATTGGCGGCACCACCACTATTGTCACCATCATCTATGACCACCCCATCCTTTCCAAAAAACCCCACCACCTCTTCCCCGTTGTTGCCAACCACATGCTTTCCTAGTTACATGGAATATCATTTATTTTGTCCTACCTCTGTTATAGCAGGTGGCATCATACTTACTTGGCTCTCATACCACCTTACAAGTTTACATCATCTAGAATGGTTTAAAGACGTAAATAACAATGGCATGGAATAAAAATTGGAAGGAATAAAATGCAAAACACAAACCTCATAATACTTCCACTACGACTAAAAGTTCACAATAGGTGCAACAGTGAGGGTTTGCTTTCACTATGAAATAGTTAATGCTATTCGAAAGCGCCCAAAACTAAATCATAATTGCCTACACATGGACTAACTTGCTATCAAATCCTTTCATATACACAATGCCTGCTTCAGAATGACTTAAATGATGTGTTCATTTTCCATTTATACCACTCCATTTATTTGGATTGGTATCATACCATACAATCCTTGTCTTGTTCACATGACCAAAAGAACATGTTTTTCACTCTTTCTTTGCGTCTATTTTATATAAAACAAGCAGCGAATCAATTTCCCAAAGCAACAGTATTTCAAATTCCAAAGCTACCCCCCCTTAACTATGGGCTTTTGAGGAATGCCCCACCAAAAAGTAACCCAGTAACTAAAGTAAGTATAATCAAGTAGAGGCAACATTTTCAAACCAGTTTATAAACAAAATAGTACCCAATTTTTACTTTTTTTTTAAGAGTAGTGTTACTGTAGCCCAAAGTTTGATCCACTTTTCACCCCTAATGATGTGGCACCCTATTAAAATATCTAAGGCAACTGTCTCTCGCATGTATACTTTAATTAATAATTATCAACCATTGACTGATTCTACAAAGTAGGTTTAGAAAATGGACTTATATATCATTTTATTTTTTGGTTCAAAATATATATATATATATATATTGTTTTACTTTTTTCATAACTAGGTATCAAAAATAGAACCCAATTTTAATCCTTCCTTTCTATTGCCATTCCAATCCCAACAACAACAAAAACACGGGCAATTATTCAGCCCGGAGTATAGACACGTGGTGCTCCACAAGGTTTTAATTGGTGGAAAGGTGTAGGGGCCCACAATTCATGTTGGAGATGGGGGAATAACATGGGCTAAGTAATTGGTGATTGGCTTGCAGTATAGCCATGTGGCGCTCTGGGAGTATTGAATAATTTCTCCAAAAACACAAACAGTTGACCTACAAACATATATTCTGGTACTCAAAATTCAAAAAACGCACAGAGAAAGCTCGAAAACTAACAATTTTAATTATATATAAAAAAAAAAAAAAAGGAAAAAGAAGACAAGGTCTTCAAAAGAAAACCCATACACGATGAACTGAGTATAGCAATCTCACAAAACACCAGCCTTTTAAACAATAATCAGAGAATAAATACGAAAGAGAGAGAGGGAATACATACCCAATTTCGAGAATGGATTATTTAAGCGAAAATTTTCAATTTGGGAAACAAACTTGAAGAAATTTCGGAGAATTTCAGATGAATGCAAATACACAAGTCATGTATGTATGATTATATATACATTACCGGTCCAAAAACTGGCTTCGGCCTTCTTGTACATCTCCCAAACTTGTGGGTATCGAATTGGGAACATACAAAACCTCTGTGAATTCTCCATTAATATGGGTTCAACTCCTTCTTCTTCTTTGCCTTCGTGTAGTCCTCTTCCCACTCCATTTTGTGAGCGAACCCATCTCTCTCTCTCTCTCTCTACACTCCTCTCTCCCTCTCTCTCTACAGATACATATAGTACACTGAAAACCCCACATAAACCCCTTCTCCAAACAAGAAACAACACACAATGTCACACTCTCTCTCTCTCTCCCTTGATTTTTGTTCGTCTTTGTGCATGGGTCCGAAGTCTTGTGATTCCTTTGGAGAGGACATGTTCCTTCAAAACGACAGCGTTCTAAGGGGGCTTTAAACCAAAATCGTCGAGTGATGGAAGGTTTAGGGCTTCAACTCGTGTGGTTTGGTTGGGCTGAGTCCAAATTGACTTTCCAAGCCCAAGCCCAAACCCAAGTGTTTAAACTAAAAAACCCTTCAACCCAATTAAAAAGCCCACTCAAATCAACAATTCACAATCAATTTAGTTTTGGAGAAATTGCTCGTAGGTTCTAATGAGAAGTGTTTTATAGCTCGAAAAATTTTCTCCCGAATGGCCTGAATTGTTGAAACGACGTCGTTTTGGCAATGTTTTTTTTTTCTTTTTCTCTCCTCGTTTATATCTGAACAGGGGGAGGGAAAGAAAGAGAGAGAGAGAGAGGGAGAAAGAGAGAGGATAAGGGAAGACAGACGGAAATAGAGAAAGAGAGAGGCGACAGTGATGGCGGGGCGGGGCGACGGTGATGGAGGGTGCGACGGTGGACGGTGATGGAGGTTCAGACACGGTGATGGACGGTGATGAAGATGATGTGTTGATGATGGTGATGTTGATGAAGATGTTGTTGTTGTGTTTTCTCTCTCTCTCTCTCTCTCCCCCTCTCTCTCTCTCTCTCTCTTTTCTGAAGATAAAGATGATGTGTTGATGATAGTGATGTTGATGAAGATGTTGTTGTTGTTGTTGATGATGATCCAGATCTGTTGCTCTTTTTTTTTTTTTTTCTGGCTTTGATCTATGGGTGATCAGATCTGTTGTTGTTGTTGTTGTTAATTAGGTTTGATTTTTGGATGGGTGGGTTTGATTTTGATTTTGTGCTCAATTTTGTGGTTAAATCAATTTTGTGGTTGAATCAGATCTTCTTCTTCTTCTCTCCTCTCATCTTCTTCTTCTTCTACTTCTTCAGACTCTTCTTCTTCTTTAGACAAAAGAGAAGGAAAAAAGAAAAAAAAAAAAAATCTAAAACGACGTCGTTTTAGAATTTCGGGGGATTCGAGCTCTAAACCATTCTAGCTACGTAGCGGAGTTGGGTTCTAATATGTGAACTTATTATTTAATAGGTCTTATAATAATTAATGGCATTTCTCATTAAACACTATTAAAAAACGTCACTAATTATTAATTTTCAGCGACAATTTGAAAATGTTGTCACAAAAAATATCACTAATTATAATTTTCAGCAACAATATAAAAAATTATAAAAAAAAAAGTCACTAATTTTAAATTTTCAACGACAATTTTAAAAATTCCTCACAAAAAAGTCACTAATTGTAATTGATAAAAATCGTGACAAAAGAAGTCACTAATTGTCAATTTTTAGCGACATATGTAAAAAATTGTCAAAAAAATTATTTTTAATGACGATTTTATTAAAATTTAATTTCAATAAGATTTGATGAGTATTAACTCTAAGTATTAAAACCTATCGATAATTTAAGACTATAGCCCAATTGAATTTGAAATTTATATGTATTTACGTGAAATGAACCCGAAATCTCTCCTCTTCTCTTCTTCTTCTTCTTCTTCTTCTACTTCTTCAGACTCTTCTTCTTCTTCAGACAAAAGAGAAGGAAAAAAGAAAAAAAAAAAAAACCCCAAAACGACGTCGTTTTGGAATTTCGGGGGATTCGAGCTCTAAACCATTCGAGCTACGTAGCGGAGTTGGGTTCTAATATGTGAACTTATTATTTAATAGGTCTTATAATAAGTAATGGCATTTCTCATTAAACACTATTAAAAAACGTCACTAATTATTAATTTTCAACGACAGTTTGAAAATGTTGTCACAAAAAATATCACTAATTATAATTTTCAGCAACAATATAAAAAATTATAAAAAAAAAGTCACTAATTTTAAATTTTTAACGACAATTTTAAAAATTCCTCACAAAAAAGTCACTAATTGTAATTGATAAAAATCGTGATAAAAGAAGTCACTAATTGTCAATTTTTAGCGACATATGTAAAAAATTGTCAAAAAAATTATTTTTAATGACGATTTTACTAAAATTTAAATTCAATAAAATTTGATGAGTATTAACTCTAACTGTTAAAACCTATCGATAATTTAAGACTATAGCCCAATTGAATTTGAAATTTATATGTATTTACGTGAAATGAACCCGAAATAGATCCGTGAATCCATTAGATTTAGAGAGAAGTCATCACTTTTTTACTGGCCATTTTCATTGACTATACTTATTTATGTATAATTTTATTTTTATTGATCAATATTTTTAAAAAGTACCAAGGAAAAATAAGTATTTTAAAACTTTTTGGTATAATAAAAAAGTATACAAGACTTATAGATATTTAAGTCCATAACATAGGATTGGCTTGTAATTTATCCCTTTTTTTTATATGGGTAAATGACACTAATCTCTTTGGGGTTTAGAAAAAATGCAAATAAATTTTATAATTTTGACATAATTAAGTTCTCTTAAAGTCTTAATTCACGTAATGTTTAACCTCATTTTCATAAATAATTAGTTAGTGGTATAGATGGGAAAATTATATAATTTTCACAAATAAGTTTTATAATTTTGACATAATTAAGTTCTCTCAAAGTCTTAATTCACGTAATGTTTAACCTCATTTTCATAAATAATTAGTTAGTTGTATAGATAGGAAAATCATATTGTCATTTTTTTCATATTGAAATGTATACTTTTTCTTATTTATTTTTGTGATTTTATACTATCTATATCAGTATTAGTTTTAATTCATTTAACTTTATTAAAAGAAATATGAATATAACTATATTTAAATTATAGGATTTATTATATCTATCTATATCTATGAGAGGCTTTTGATTTTGCTACACTAACCTTTGGCTCTCTTTTTGCCTATTTTTGCATAGAGGGAAATTCTAAGTATGAATCATATGCTTCAGTTATGACAATTGTAGTTTTAATTATGAGTTTGGCTTCTCTCCTTCCCAAATTGTATTGAGAGGTACTACTATGCCCATTGGATGGTCCAGTCTGATAATGGACTGAAGACAATTGAATCCCTTGATGCTGTGAAAAGTTTTTTCAGGGGAGGTTATTTGCTCAGAGAATTAAATCAAACCAACTTGGTTTTGATCCCAAACATGAGTAACCCTACTTTGCTTTCTCAGTTTCTCTCTATTAGCCTTTGTAATTTCATATTAAAGGTGATCACAAAAGTTCTAGCAAATTGATTAAAATGAACTTTGAAATCCTTGATCTCTTTCAATCAATCCGTTTTTGTCCCTGCGAGGATGATCCAGGATAGCATCCTTGTAGCCCATGAAGCATTTCACTCGCTAAAACTAAACAACTCTAGATGGGTGGGCCATATGGCGATTAAGATTGATTTTAACAAAGCATATGATAGAATCGAATGGGACTTCTTGCAAGCGATTTTGTGAAAGATGGGATTTGATCCGATGTGGGTCAATTGGGTTATGGAATGCATCATAAATGTCAGCTTTTCCATTTTTGCAAATAGCGAAAAGAGAGATTTTTTCATTTCCTTGGCCTCGGACAAGGAGACTTACTTTCGCCATACCTTTTCATCCTAGTAGCTGATGTGCTATCCAAACTTATTACTCGGAATCTACGAAGTAGAGAAATTTCAGGTATGAAGACTACTAGTCACTGCCCTACTCTATCTCATTTACTGTTCACGGATGATATAGTGTTATTTCTAAAAGCTGATGTGAATGAGTGCCAAAAAATCTTGGAATTACTGGATACATTTTGCAAAGCCTTTAGGCAGTTGGTAAACCTTGACAAGTTCAGTGTTCAATTTTTCCCAAATGTTGCCCCAGCGATATGTAGCTCTATTAGTGCCCTCACAAATCTCAAGCAAACTTCCACGAATGTTAAATACTTGGGCTTACTTTCGTTCTAGGGTCAATCGAAGGTGGAAGCATACAAATTTATAATTGAAAAACTAGGTCAAAACTGCAAGGATGGAAGAGTAAGTTAATTTCATATGCCAGGTGTGAAACTTTGATAAAGGTTGTGGTATAAGCGATACTAGTTGAAGATTGGCTTTGATTTTCTTTATCAACAATGACTGCTGATTGAAGACAAATGAAAAAGCCGAAGATTCAGTTTAGCTACTCCATGGTATGGTGGCTGATCTTTAGATCCTATTGGTGGCTGCCATAAATGTTGTCAGTGGCTTGTTGAAGATTTTGGTTCTCCCATTACATCTATAAATGGTTAGTGAATGGGAGGGGTTTGGTGTGGCAATCAGAAGAGAATGTAAGTAGAGTGTAACAAACTGAGTGAGTATGAGTGTGAGTAGAGTGGGAGTATTGTCTCCTCCTCCTCCATTGTTATAATCTTCGTATTTCTCCCCATATAGTGAAATCCGTTGCCCATGGACGTAGGCGATTTGTTGAACCACGTAAATCTTTGTGTGTGCTTGTGTGTGAATGTTTTTTGCCTCCCAGGCACAACAAATTGGTATTAGAGCATAGTTGTGGCAAAACAGAGCATTTGCAACTCTATAAATTGAAAATTTCGAAGTTGTTGAAATCACGTTTTTAGGATACCAAAACGTACGTGTCACGCCCCAAAAATTTAGACAATTAAATATTAAATTAGAACTAAACCCCAATCAATATTCCATCATCCAAATCCTATGGGTGAAATAAAATCTAAACGTTTTCATCTCCAAAAGGTTTAAATAAATTTTCATCCTCCAAAGATTACAAGGGATAAAAAAAATTAACAAAACACCAAATAAACCATTCACCATAATTTCATAACTAACCAATACCTCAAACATTAAACTAATAATAAATAGTCAAAATAACTCAAATAATATAACGTTGGAAAACAACCCACAATGCCAAACTACCAAAAATACTAAGGTCATAAAAAATAATAAATACATAAATTAATATCAACCCTAAACTCAAGAAAATCAAAAAAATTCCAAAAAACATGTCCTACGATCATAGTTATTTCTTGT